CTTATTAAAGTTTCTTACGTAATTAATCAAAAAACTGATTCATACAATAACTATGCTTAGATTACAAAAAATAGCCAAAGTTAATATTTTGATTGGCGGTAACATATTTATCATCCAAATTCTGTTTGAAGAACCAAACTCTAAATAAAATAAAAACGTAAATACTTTGTTTGTTTTGAATTTCAAGTTACCCTTCTTTCTTTGTTATTCTAATAATTAGGTGGTGCCTAATTTTTAGGTTTAAAGCAATGTCCATCCTTGGATGCACAGATAATAAATATCCAAAGATCATGATCCCGCCAATGTGGAAAGAAAATAATCAAACACGTGGTATCGCAGTTGAGCTAGGTAAAGGCAAGGTTTCGTTTTTAAAGGAAACTTTCAATTAGTTAATCTGACAAGTGATCCTGACTTCGAAACTTCTGAAGGAAAGTGATGTAAGCCAGATAACACCAAGTTTGTTGGTTATTACTCAGCCGGATTTCATTGTACTGTGATTATTATACATTGTTTGGATATCCCAATGAGCGGAAATATGCACTAAAGTATAATCAATTCACCTGGGAATATCACACTTGCAATCGAATTTGTTTCCCATATATATCTATAAAACTCAGAACAACAAGCATTATTTAATAATAGCAAGTAATCATATACAATTAAATGTCTACTCGTTATGTATTTTTTAACGGATTTCGTAGGCAGCACTAAACCTAGAATTACAGTAATTCGTAATCAATTACCCAAGCGTTATGAATTAAAATTTGCTTTAAATTACATTAACGAGAAAAATTAGTTAGTAGAATTTATTTTAATTTTATCATTTCGAAATTAAGGTTATTTTATTGCAATAGATATATGAAACAATGTCTCTATAGTCTTTAGCATCATTAGTTTATCAGCTAGTTTCTCTCTTTATTTGGCTCACCATAGACAAGTCAAGTACGCCATGGTAATTACTGAAAATATTGCAGGATAGGCAATTGCTTGAAATAAATACAATTTTGAAAAACTTAGCTACTTGTATGCCATTTTAAATGTAATCGCATTTTAAACGTTTTAAAATTCGAATTGAAATGATTTAAAGGACATTAAACAAAAGATAATAAACAAACAACTGTTATATTTAGATTATATGGGCCTGGTGCTCAATATTACACTTTAAAGTTATAGAGTTCGATATTCACATAATGTCGTTCAGGGGAAAAGGTATATGGTAGGTTTCCTCCCCGAAGATACACATGATCAGAATGGCACAACATGTTCAAAGCTTGATGGTCCCTTGTGATTCGTAGTGATAAAAACACAGCAGCAAAAACGTTTCGTTTCAAATAGAGAGGTTTCATCAACTCTTTAAACTGAATGGCTTTCATAAAGAATAATATAACCTGAGTAGGATGTATAAACAGTTTTAAGGGCAGAAAAAATAAAACTAAACAAAAATGTATTTTTCTATTACTCAACGTTATTTTCAAGTTAAAACTAATAAATAAAATGAAGAAACTAGAACAGTTTCTTTAACATCATCATTAACGACTTTTTAAAAATGATCAATAAAATCCAAATATCCAAAAATTATCTCATAATATAAATCGAAAAGGGGGGAAAAATGACTAAAAAAATGATTTAAAATATAAAAAAACAAATAATGGTGATGAGAAAAGTACAGATAGCCCATAGTGTAGCTTTACGCTTAAAACACAAATAAATTGTTTGTTTGGATGAAGTTAGGCACAAAGCTACACAATGGGCTATCTGTGCTCTGCCCACCACGGGTATCGAAACCCCGGTTTCTAGCGTTTTAAGTCCGCAGACTTACCGCTGTGCCACTGCGGGGTACACAAATAAACAAAGTATCATAAAAAATCACTTTGACCAAACATACCGCTGTGCCACTGCGGGGTACACAAATAAACAAAGTATCATAAAAAATCACTCTGACCAAACATACCGCTGTGCCACTGCGGGGTACACAAATAAACAAAGTATCATAAAAAATCACTTTGACCAGGCATGCCGTTGTGCCACTGCGGGATACACTGCGGGATACACAAATAAACAAAGTATCATAAAAAATCACTTTGACCAGACATACCGCTGTGCCACTGCGGGGTACACAAATAAACAAAGTATAATAAAAAATCACTTTTACTGCTCCTTGTAGTTAGACTTATTCGGCGTTCAGATAGTAACTTTAAAGTTTAATATTCTTTAAATGTATTCGAGCTATATTTTTTAAACGATATCTGCTTATGTAAATGGATTATTTGCATATTTTGTTTGTTTGTTTGTTTTTGAATTTCGCGCAAAGCTACACGAGGGCTATCTGCGCTAGCCGTCCCTAATTTAGCAGTGTAAGACTAGAGGGAAGGCATCTAGTCACCACCACCCACCGCCAACTCTTGGGCTACTCTTTTACCAACGAATAGTGGGAATGACCGTCACATTATAACGCCCCCAAGGCTGAAAGGACGAGCATGTTTGGTGTGACGGGGATTCGAACCCGCGACCCTCAAATTGCGAGTCGAGCACCCTAACCACCTGGCCATGCCGGGCCTTATTTGCATATAAGTACCAATGTCTGAGAATTACGAACAAATACTATTTTGCAGTAGTGTTATCTCATTTCACTATTACTGCAAGATTCACATATAGAAATCTGAAATGAAAAAAGGTTTTACAAAAAAAATCTAACTCATACTTTTTATATAATACCACCATAAATTTTAATAGCCTACGAATGTGCGCAAATACATGAGTGGGTTTTCAACATCATTTTACGTAATTCTGAATGGGTCAGCAAATGTTTTGATGTAAGGTTAACATATACGTTTGTTTTGTTCACAGAGTGAACATCTAAATATAAACAGTGTTTACAAACTTGTGTAACTTCTCTAAGAACTTTTTTCTTTGAAATTTGAAAAAAAGAAAAAGAAATGAACGTCTATAACATAATTAAAAAAAAAACGATTTAATAAGACTAACCAGACCTGGCATATCATTTGGCTAGGTCGTTCGACTTGCAATCTGCGGGTCACGGGTTTGAATCCCGTCACCGAATATGCTCGTAAGACTAGCGCAAACAGCCCTCTAGTATCTTTGCGCGAAACGTAACAAACAAAAAATTAAAATAACCAAAAATATTTTCTTTAATGTAATTATTTATAGCTTTTCCTAACAGAGGGCGCTTCTAGGAAGTATGAGAAGGTATGAGAACAACATAAATTCGAGGTACTGAAGAAATGGAATAGAATCATTACAATTATAAACACAAATACTGTATCTGCTTTTGAATAAATAGATAGTAAACTGTGTAACTCGACTTTATATTGGAAATATATTTGGAGATTTTACAGAAGGAATAATTTTATGTTATGAAGTGCGAAAAATCGTACTAATATACGAAGGGTAAAAATGTCAAGTGTATATAATACATAATAGCACACTCACTGCCTGATATTAAGAAATCTTCTTATACAAACGATTAATTGATAAATAGGAAGAGTTGGGGAAAATAAGTAGGAAAACGCACTTTTGTAAATAAAATAATCACATATATATGAATGTCCGGTGCCAGAATTGTTTCACATATAAGACGTTTTCCTGATCTCAAATTAAACAATTTCTTAAGACTATATTTGGAAGTTACGTAAAATATACTATACATAAGTTATTTTCAAATTTCAGTTGGCAGTAGGTAAACGTTTATATAGCTCAATTAATTTTCAACATGTAAAATCTCTGCAGCACATTTATTATAAACATTTGTAAAACTTGCTTTGCAGTAAATTAAATCTAGAAAAAATGGAAACAGTTTAGCATTTATAAAAAGCAGAAAAATTTTTTGTTTTCTGAAAACGTGTTTAGATTACATTTAATTGATATAATATTTATGTGTGGTAAAACATAAGCTTAATTTAAATTGTAATAAGGATATTGCTATATCTATGTATGTATTTATTATTTTCGAATCTCTGCCAAAAAAGAATTGTATGTTAATTTATGTAACTTCAAAACTATATGTATGTGTTTCTATTTCTACTTTTGTCTAAATGCTTACCTATTAGGGACACTGATTGCGTATCATTAGTGAGAGAATTAAAAGATAGATATCAGTGTTGAATGATAATTGTGACATATTCAAGTTTATCTAACAGGTATCTCTCACATTTCAATAACAATACTACATTCATCATTGTAAACTAAATCACCTTCTAGTTACATTACGGGAAGTGGGAGTACTAGAGAGGTTTCTTGCAGAGCAACCATTCTTTGTACTCTCCAACCAACCCCCCTCACAACCCACCCCCACACACACACTTGTAAACCATTTTGGTTTTGTTTGTTTGTTTGAAGTTAAGCACCAAGCTACACAATGGGCTATCTGTGCTCTGCCAACCACTGGTATCGAAACCCGGTTTCTAGCGTTGTAAGTACGCAGATATACCGCTGTTCTACTGAAGGGGGGGGGGAGCACCATTTTGGTAATAATGTTAGAAACAAACTACTTTTATACTCCAGATAATTAAAAGAGAACTTATATTTTAACCAACCTTTGAAGTGTAAAGGTCGTGTTTTTATTATCAAAATGTGTAAATCCCCCCAGTAGCATTACAAATTTTGAAAGACACTTGCGAACCCACAATTACGCTTCTTGGGTTGACTGTCTCGATTGCACGATCTCAATGAAACATGATTATTTTCAATCTCATGTTGAAACAAACACTAAAATTTATCTCGATAATATGTTATTAAATGAGCTCGTGTCTTTACTGACATCTCTCGGAGCTGCAGCACGTGTTTTATATATAAGCCCCAAGTCGATACTTCTTTATCATGACATCTTTGGTTGTTGTAATTTTAAGAAGCTCCGCCTATTATGACGCTTATTACTTTGGATGTGACTGTCCTTCCCCAATCAACACTTTTATCTTCTTCCTATTCCAGCTAGCTCTACTTTCGGAAACCGGTTTCCATAAAATAATTACTCCTGTCATGTAAAGCGCCGCCGTAGAACAGCGCCCAACGTAATAATACAAATCTCACAGAGACCGTGCCCCTCCCCTGTGTGGGAGACTTCCCTGACAAATCCCTTATAATCCGTTGCACCTTTCAGTGTTTGTTACTTAGCAGCTCATTGTTTTCGAAACTTCCCCATATCCATAGTAACGAAAAGAAATCCAGACAGAATACGAAAATCTCTAAACTTTTGTAAGCAACATCTTAAACGGCTTATTTTCAAACTTCAAAGATCAGTTATGTTAGGGCGTTTGTTATTATGTATGAGTATTTCTCTCTTGGCCTTCCTTCAATTTTCCGATGGCTTTATCCAAGTTTTGCAACCAGGAATAGGTGAGTCCAATTTAACTCCTTGGATAATGTTGATCATTTTAATCGCTTCTTCAGAACAGAATATTTAATCTCAACACTTCCCAAAATTTTCTTCACTACTTCTTCACTGACAGAAAAATATCTTTATGAAATAAGTAAACTTTACTTTTAGTCCATTTTTCTTAGTTAAACAGTCCTTCATCAGTGAAACAGTAAAACAGCTCTTTAAAAAATAGTTTAATCGATCTCATATAGAGGACTATAAACGGCACGTTATGCGACACACTGGGTAAACGGCCATATTAGAGACCCGAAGGTTCAAGTATAGCTCTCACTAATTTAGAACTGCTGGCCAGATTGAGAGCAACCATTCAGCTCTACCCGTTGCATACACGATTAATTTTAACCAAATATCGGACTTTATTATCACATTTATTACGCGCCAACAGACAAAAGTGCGAAGCAAATCCACAATATATATTAAGGGGTCGAACATTACACCTTCAGATCCTCAGACCGGCACGCTAACCACTAAGCAACGACCGGCACTAGAACTAAATCAAACTATAAGATTGATAATTGTAAAAACTATTTTCTTATAAGTAATTATTAAATCATCAGCAAATTTTAAAGCCAGAAATGTACTCTTAAGATTATCAAGAAGTAAACTGACTGAACTGTAACTGCCTGTTTTCTGAACCCCTGGCGTGTAATAAAATAAGCGTAGTTGAATAACTTATCTTAAAGAACTTTGGAACTAGAAACCAACAACACTTTCAAACAGGCACGTGGCGCATATGATGGAGAAGGAAAAAAATATATGGCCAGAAATAAACATTGTGAAAAGCGCCGACTTCTGTATTTTGCAGAATGGTACCACTAATACCACATGTGATAGAAAACAAGCCCTACGTCTTCTTACGCTGCTATATGCTGGTGCAACTGGTCCTGACATCAACTTAATGGATGCCAATACACGTCCCCATCATGGTAAGCTGATCTAAACACCTCGAAATTACAGTAAAGTACTACTCAGCTATAAAAAATAATGTTGTTACACATGTCGTTGGTTCTTTGGATGTGTTCTTGGTACCATTGCAGATGATCTGTATTATACGTGGTTCTAAACGGAACACATCTTATTGACTTGGCTCTAACCACAAATTTAAGCTGCAAATCTTTAGGTTACACATGAATTGTTTTTTCACATCTTTAAGGAATGTTTTAGTAATAATTCATAAATGGGGAGGTACAAGAACAATTATTAGTGTTATGAAATGAGATTGTATGGGCCTACTCTGTTGCTGTATCATTTGGTCATTCATTGTCATCTTCAAGGCCATAATCTTCAATAATTTTGTTTATATACATCATACACCGAAGGAACGATGTAGGCAGTAACACGTGAAACATCTTAAACATAAAATTAACAAAATCGTTCCTCAAAAACAACAGGCTCTAATGTATACCATCCATGTATATGGAGTTGTTCTACAAAATATGGCCGTACAAAGGTTGTTACACAAACCTAGGTTTCAGGTTTAAGGTCAGAACTTTGCATCAGCATAACCTTTGAAGGGTCTGAAAGTATAAAAAGTACATAAATACAAATCCTCTATGTAAGGTAAAACACAAACTTTTGCTGCAACTGCTCCTAAATCATCAAAATAACGGCACAATATTCAGTAAGAAACACTTTAGCATGGTCCTACTGTTTGTAGAGTGTCATCAGTAAGAAACACTTTAGCATGGTCCTACTGTTTGTAGAGTGTCATCAGTAAGAAACACTTTAGCATGGTCC